GTAGGGTGGGGGGGTTATGGGAATACAGAGGGCACATCTGAACATCTGATTTTATTTTTACTCTTTTGTTTGAAGGGGGTTTCGTTGGGAAGGAGAGGGGAGAGAGAGGGCGGGGGGTTGTTACTGGATGGGGAAGAGAATGGCTGACTCCTTTTGGTGACTGAAATCTGAGAAGAACCAAATCTGTTTTCCATGTATGCACGCAGCCGCAGCCAAAGACCTCTCCCCCCCCCCCCCCCCCCCCCCCCCCCCCTCTCTCCCATCACTCTTTTACTGTCCATGATCCCCCTCACCTCTCACCCCCAACAGGCACACAAAAGCCTCAGAGCTCCGATGGCTGCCAGCCCCACTAATGACTGCGTCCCCCCCCCCCCCCCCCCCCCTAACCGGGGAGGGGACGACTGCGCCTCGTACGCCTTATCGCCACCAAACGACACCACTGGAAGCTACCGATTCGGGCCTTATCGGCGAAATCAGACACTGGAGGAATTTTGTACATTCTGGGCAGCGGAGAGCTGAAGAGAGGCTGTCAGACATTTCATTCCTGAAATATCAGCCCCCCTCGAAACCCACGGCGACCCGTCCTTCATTCCACCCTCACTCGACATAATAAGTGAGCTTACGATGGCAGGCAGGTAAAAAAAAAAAAAAAAAAAAAAAAGTATAAGGGGAGAAATCTTTTTTTAGAGGAACTAACGTCAAATAAGCAATTATGAAATAAGCTGGGCTTATCACGCCCGGGACAGACAGGAACAGTCTGGACTCTCGGATGAAGTTTGTGGCATGGAAGTTGCGGAGTAAGTTAAAAAGTTAGCGTTAAGGGGGGGGGGGGGGGGGGTAAAAAAAAGGGGGGGGGGTTCCCCCTGGGGAAGGGGGCTGAGAAAGGCGCAGGTAAAGACGGGAAGCGAAAGGCCCAGAGCGCCTTCTCCAATTACCCCTCCCTTTAATCTCCATTTATCTGCAATTCTAATGCGACTTAAAAAAAAGAAACTTCTAATAAAGAGCTCTGTCTTGTCTCTCTGGGTGCAGCAGCGCC